GGACAGGAGGAGACTCAACGGTCAGGGTGTAGAGACTCGACCCCGGCCGACGCGAGAACGTGGCCAGGTGTCGGCCTGTGCGTGCCTCCGTGTAGTGGGTCACCCGCTGACTCGCAGGAGTGAACTGGTGAACCCCCACATCCTGCAGGTCCGCTCCACTCACCAAGTTCGTAGAGAACGAGGGAAGGTACAGACCCGACAGGGTGCCCGAAGGGGCAGCCGGACACGGGAGGACAGTGGAGAAGTGAGACAGGACAGGACCCCCAGAGGGGTCAGCAAGGGAGACCGCAACCGGCCGGCCGAGCGGCGTAAGGGTAGTGCGGTCTCGAAAGAAGGAGCGAGAAGCTCCGGAGTCAAGTGTGAAAGTGAGGGAGGACGAGGACGACGCAGTACCTGAGAGCGCAGTCTCACCAGTACCTGAGAGCACAGACGCACTGGCACCTAGAGCAGCAGCCTCACAAGCACCTAGCGCAGCAGTACCAATGCCCGGGTCGGGCTGGAAACACCGGTAACCCTCATTCTCCTCACTATAATCCACAGCATACATAGCAGCAAGGATAGCATCAAAATCAAGATCAAAGATCGCTACACCAGCCCTGAGAAGCTCATCCCAGCAAGGGATCTCACTAGCCCCAGGGAACTGCTGACGCCAAGCGTCCGTCAGGCGGCCAAAGCAGCGCTGGGTGGCGTGGGCACCCCCACACTGCTCACCCGCGCGGTCGCCGGAACGAAGAACGTAGGTGCAGGGACCAGTACCCCCACCCCTCTGACGCCCAGCGTACCACTCACGAAGCTGCTGAGGCGGAGGGATGTCCCGCGAGCGCTGCTGCTGCTGCCGCTGCGAGCGCTGGCCACCACCACCGCCGCTACGCTGCTGGGTACCACCTCGACCAGCTCCACCTCCACCACCACCACCGCCTCCTCCGCTACCGCCTCCACCGCCTCCACCTCCGCCGCCTCCACCACCGCCGCTGCCTCCACCACCACCGCTGGTACCACCACCACCGTCTCCGCCACTGCTGCCACCACCACCACCACCTCCGCCACTAGTCCCGCCGCCACCCCCACTCCCTCCGCCGCCACCGCCGCCACCGCCACCGCCCCCTCCAGCTCCACCCGCGCCCTTGCCCCCCTTGCCCTTGCTGGAGCGACGTCTCCCACTAGGGGCAGACGCCGCACCGACCGACTCAAGACCAAGCAGGTCGGCAGCAGCAGCAGAGGCAACAGAGGGCAGCAAGGGGGAAGGAGAGCACCCCTCAAAGATGGGGGTGCGAGGGTCACCACGAGAAGCACCTACAGCGACTATGCTCTTCTCCGCTGCGAGGAGGGCCTTCTCGAGGAGGTCGACGGTGAGGGTGGTGGGACAGACTGCAAGAAAGTGGTCCCTGACGACGCGAAGGGAGTCAGGGAGGCGCGCGACTACGTAGTAGAGAGCGATGTACATGGGGGGGGGGTTCTTAGCGCAGAACTCAGCAGGAAGGGCGGCGCGGTAGCGAGTGTCACTAGTGCGGAGGTGTGTAATGAGGTCAGCGACAGTGGGAAAGGCAGAGAGGTCAGGAAAGAGGTAGGGAAGCATGAGACGGCTCAGTGCAGCAGTGGCAGGGGAGGAGTAGCGCGCAACTACAGCGTCGTACAAGGTCTGAGCACTCTTGTACTGACTAAAGTGCGCACGCTCAGAGGTAGGGAGGTGGCGACGCACAGCAAGACGTGCAGCAGCATCGCGGGTGGCCCACTTAGAGCGGACAGTGGGATCAGCATCAGCAGCAGGGGCAGGAGAGGCGCCAGAGGTGAGGTCAAAGAGAGAAAGGTCGTCAGCCCTGTCGCACTGTAAGAACAGCTGCAGGTCGTCTAACCAGACCTCAAAATCAATGGCGCGACCCTCAGCGTCAAAAGCTAGGACACTAGGGGTAGCCATGGCGGCGACAGCGACGCAGTGCAAGCAGTAGGGAAAGAGCTCGCAGTGTCAGTGGGACTGTGCTCACCAGGCAGGGCAGGTCGTGCAGCTATGCAGAAAGGCGGCTCAGCGACCGGGCGGCTCGGGTGCACAGCGGCTCGGCTCCCGGGCGGCTCGGCGGCTGGGCGGCTCGGGCGCAGGGCGGCTCGGCTCCCGGGCGGCTCGGCGGCTGGGCGGCTCGGGTGCAGGGCGGCTCGGCTCCCGGGCGGCTCGGCGGCAGGGCGGCTCGGGTCCCGGGCGGCTCGGCGTTGGGCGGCTCGGCTCCCGGGCGGTTCGGCTGCTGGGGCGGCTCGGCCGGGAGATGCAGGGGCGGGGCCGTCAGGTGCAGCGGCGGGTCGACCGGTGCAGTGGCGGGCCGGCAGGTGCAGCGGCGGGCCGGCAGGTGCAGCGGCGGGCCGGCAGGTGCAGCGGCGGGCCGGCAGGTGCAGGCGGCGGGCCGTAGGGTGCAACGGCAGGCCGGCAGGTGCAGCGGCGGGGCCGTCAGGTGAAGCGGCGGGCCGCTGGGTGCAGCGGCGGGCCGGCAGGTGCAGCGGCGGGCCGGCAGGAGCAGCGGCGGGCCGGTAGGAGCAGCGGCGGGGCCGTCAGGTGAGGCGGCGGGCCGGCAGGAGCAGCGGCGAGCCGGTAGGAGCAGCGGCGGGGCCGTCAGGTGAGGCGGCGGGCCGGCAGGAGCAACGGCGGGCCGAGGGTGCAGCGGCGGGGCCGTCAGAGGCGGCGGGCCGTAGGGTGCAGCGGCGGGAAAAGGCGACCCGAGGGGTCGCTAAAAAAAAGGGCGCGCCTCGGGGCGCGCTTCGGTGGGCCCTAAAAAAACGGTCCTAAGGCAGGACCCGCTCTATACCATGTGAAGCAAGGAAAACAGGAATGAAATGACTAAGTCAGAGTTGGGTACAAATACAACCCTAGAAAGCTGTACCACATATGTGCTACCCCACTATAGCCTACAAACATGCATCAGCTATGATAATCTGACAGGAATTTACCTTCGCGAACTACTGGAAGAAGCGAAGCTAGCCGAGTTACCCAGCTTCACCATGTTCTGCGACAACCAGTCAGCAATTCGCATCGCCAACAAGAACGGCTTCGCAAACAGGACGAAACACATCGCCCTGCGCTATTTCTTCGTGAAGGACGAGATCGAAAAGGGGAAACTCGATCTGTCATACTGTCCAACATCTGAGATGGCAGCCGATTACTTGACCAAGAAGCTCGGAAAGCAGAAGTTCGAATACTGCATGATGCTGACTGGACAAGGCCACGTCACCTGCGGCGACACTCCAGAAGCGAAGGGGAGTGTTGGAAACAATAAGTCTTAGTGCGCTTCTGTCGTGTCAAAACCCAAGACACTAGCGAAGCAGCCCGAATCGAAGCATCGAGTCAAACCTCGGAGGTTAGGGTAACTGCCTGGAGGTTACGAGAAAGTCAAAGGTCAGCGACCTTTGACTCGACAATTACAGCGCGACAGTTAAGGACACACAACTGACTCGTTACAGAGCAGTTGCCCGAGTCGCACTGTATCGAATCGCAACAGCAATACAGTTATCTATCTATTCGTATTTCCTGTACCCTTATATAAAACCTTGTATTTGCTTGTTTAATTTAATCTACTTTGCTCTCACACACTAGTGCAAGGTCGGTTCACAAGTTTCATTAAACGCTTCCGCTATTACAAGTTTCCTACCCAGAGTTATCCTCTGCAAAGATCCTTAAGGGCCTTCTCAGCCCAACACTATCATGGGGGGGTGTTTTGTCCGGGAGATCACGGTATATATATCCTTGTATTTGCTTGTTTGAATCAATCTACTTTGCCCTCACATACTAGCGCAAGGTGGTTCACAAAGTTCTTATTAAAGACGCTTCCGCTATTACATAATCCTACGTTGAATCAAGTCCTGCAAAGATCCTAAGGGCCTTTTCAGCCCAACAAAGCCTACATATTCTATCATAACATACATCTAGTTTGACATTACGCATTGCAAAAAGGAGTCCTAATGATCGTTACATTCAAATACAACTTCAAAAACTGTATCATTATCATAAGACCTGGTCACCCGAGTCTTACAAAATTAGTAATATATGATAAGACTCTCCACAACATTTTCGTGTGGTTTTCGTAAGACAAGACCCTATGGTCTAATATACTAGTGATTATGGTAAGCACAATGCCGCGAGCGCAAGAAAGTGACAAGCCAGTTCATTGATCCTTCATGTCTTGGCAAAAAAACCCTTGAAGGGGAATACTTCGCATAATGGACTAGGGCAATCGATCTACATTCTCTTCTGCATTGCCATTTGGAGGCAAACTGTGGTAGCTATGAAAAAAAGGTTGTTCATGGTCTGATAGAGCTTGATTTGAAAAGAGGAGCCCTCATGGGTAAAGGCTACTATAAGATAACCGCAGGCAAACAGAGCAACATGCCAATCCACAACCTACTCACTGCACAATCATAACCGTTATTAAGGCTCCTAAACATGTCAATGCTGCGGCTGTATCTCTTAGCGATCAGCAGGCCGCACGTGTCGCCGCGCCTCACACTGTATGTTCTCTTGGTTGAACAGGACAGGCCCGAGACAGGACGAGCGTCAACACCAGCCACACAGACCTGCCAATTGTGTTTCCGTGAAAACAAGAATTGCATGAGACAACCTAAAATGTGTCGAAGTTAAAAAGCTCACTCCCGACAAAATCTCACATTGCTGCCAGCAACAGCCTACTCACCTTCCTTGTTACTCACCACTCACACCCTCAACTCCCTAGCTCTACCACTTACCCTGGCCTCTTGAATCATTGCTAGTAAATTATGCACATCCCCCACTCTCACATCATTACCCTGGCCCTGTACAACCCGTGCACTTGTATATCCCTTACACCCTTAAATCCTATCCGGTTTCCGTGAAGCTCGTAAATCCCTTGCACTCGTAAATCCCTTACATTCTTCAATCCCCTACACTCGTACAAACACCCGCGTGTCGCTGCACACACACCGCCTCACACTTCCCTCTCACTCACTCACACCCTCAACATTCACACTGCACTGCAGCAAAGATTCTTTCAGGAAGCCTCGGACACACCTGGTCCCATACACCTGGTCCCATGCACCTGGTCCCATACATCTGGTCCCATACACCTGGTCCCATACACCTGGTCCCATGCACCTGGTCCCATACACCTGGTCCCATGCACCTGGTCCCATACATCTGGTCCCATACACCTGGTCCCATACACCTGGTCCCATGCACCTGGTCCCATGCACCTGGTCCCATACATCTGGTCCCATACACCTGGTCCCATACACCTGGTCCCATGCACCTGGTCCCATACACCTGGTCCCATACACCTGGTCGCATACACCTGGCCCCATGCACCTGGTCCCATACACCTGGTCCCATACACCTGGTCCCATACACCTGGTCCCATACACCTGGTCCCATACACCTGGTCCCATACACCTGGTCCCATACACCTGGTCCCATACACCTGGTCCCATACACCTGGTCCCATACACCTGGTCCCATACACTTGGTAACAGCTTTCCCACCCACCCGAGTCACAGTGTTGCCCTGAAGCGGGCTGTCAGGCAGCAGCGAGTCGCACGGAAGGCCGGGGTTGAGCTGGAAGAAGCGCGTGGGAGAGGCGAGGCTGAAGGCCTGCCACAGCCCCTGGCAGGTCTGTGGGCTCTCAAGCTCGCTTATGAGTGCGTCCTCTACGGTGAATGGGGCTGTCTGCTGCAGGCTGCTGGAGAGTGGTGCTGGCGAGATGTGAGCGAAGTGCGTGCACTTTGTGCTTATCTTTCCGGCGTCGTACCACTGTTGGTCAAACGCCACACATAGAAGCTGCGGGGAGGGGAGGGAAGGGGGGAAAGCAGCAGTTAAGGGGAAGGAGCGGCAGGTAAGGGGATGGGCAGCAATAATGGGGGAGGATCAGCAATAAAGGGGGAGGAGCAACAATAAAAGGGGAGAGAAGCGAGGCAGGGGGAAGGGCAGCGGAGGTTATTTCGGAAACAAACAGCTAACAGCATGACTTGTGCAATATTCTCAATCCGAGTTCGAGGAGCTGCGCAGAATCACATTCGCGTTTTTGTTCTTCTTTGCACCAGCTGCCCCCAAAATTAATCGGCCAGGCGTTTGCGTTATTTTCAATCATTTGGCGTTTATCGTTCCTCGCTGACCTCACCTACCCATGCAGTGGCCCATCCGAGCAGCTGAGCGCCTTGAGAGTCGCCTCAAGAGTCGCCTTTTGAGGCGCCTCTGAACTTCGTTCAATTCGCTGATCTCACCTACTCAAAAGTGATCTCACCTGCCCGTGCCTCGGCCCATCGGAGCAGCTGAGCGCCTTGAGAGGCGCCTCAAGAGTCGCCTTTTGAGGCGCCTCTTAACTCCCTTCAATTCAACCCGCTGATCTCACCTGCCCGTGCCGTGGCCCATCGGAGCAGCTGAGCGCGGGGTTGAGCGGCTCTATCTGCGTGTCGAAGAGCGCGTTGATGGAGTCACAGGTGTCGCCCTGCAGGCACACGTGTCAGATACAGGGAGAAGTGGAAGTGAGAGCGAGGGTATTGGGAGAATTGGGTTGTACGGCTCCATCTGCGTGGCAAAGAGCGCGCTGATTGAGTCACATGCACGGGGGAAGAGGGCATTTGAGACATCTCAAAACTCTATCTGAGTGGCGAAGAGGGGTCGCAACACAAAATGGCGCTGATGTCGCCACTCAGATAGAGTGGTCAATTGTGTCGCTCTGGTGTCACATGTACATTGGGGGAGCGGTGAGGTCAGGTGAGGCGAGGTGGGGTGAGGAGAGGTGAGGTGAAGGTTTGGCCAATAGCGAGTGGAGAAGAGGGGATTGGCGGGGGGAGTGGAGATTGAGCTGGGTGAGATTGAGTCATTTGTGTGTGGATTCTCCCGTAAATGGATTAACCCATGAGTGGAGAGTGAGTGGTGGCACATGCAGTAGACAGGTATACACTAGGCATGAGAAAACGAGTCGAATAATATCAGATCTCGACTCGTATTCGTTACTTGACCGAGGCAAGTAGATTGTTCAGAACTGCCACTTATATTAAGCAATGCCACTTACTTAGTTAACAGTGTACATTGCTGTACATTTCTGTGATTGCAATGCCACTTACATGATTAACAGTGTACATTGCTGTACATTTGGAGAAAGCACGGCTGGTGACGTTGACCAGGGTGCCAGCAGGAATGGGAGCTCGACACTGGAAGCCCTGGTATCAGAGCATGGTATCAGAGCATGGTATCAGAGCATGGTATCAGAGCATGGTATCAGAGCATGGCATCAGAGCATGGTATCAGAGCATGGTATCAGAGCATGGTATCAGAACATGGTATCAGAACATGGTATCAGAAGGTATCAGAGCATGGTATCAGAGCAAGGTATCAGAGCAAGGTATCAGAGAATAGTATCAAAGGATGGTATCAGAGCATGGCATCAGAGCATGGTATTAGAGCATGGGCAGTCGAGCGAGAGTGGGGGAGAAAGTCAGCCAAGGCAGAATGGGAGGGGTTCGACTCATGAAGCCCATGCGAGTGGGCTGGGAAAGATGGGGATTGGGAGAGATTGAACAAAGGAGAGATTGGGATAAACTAGCATACAACGAGGTGGTAAGGACGAGGGGACAGTGATGGGGAATGAGAAGGAAGGCTTGGATAGCTCGAGGATAGCTCAGAGTAACGTCGCCTTGAGCTATCCAAGCCTTGCTTGCCACGAGCTATCCAAGCCTTGCTTGCCACGAGCTATCCAAGGCTTGTTCAGCAAACCGAATCTGCGCTGGCAGGAAATCCGCCCAGCAGATCCTTCTCACTCAAGCCATTGGCTCGGTAGCCCAGCAGATCCTTCTCACTCAAGCCATTGGCTTGAATCAAACCAAAAGTGGCGCCGAGCTGGCCAATGTCTGCGATGGGGCGTGGCACGGCAAGTTTTGAGGCACCTAAAAGGTTGTGGCATGACGTGGTGTGTTGTGATGCGATGCAATGTGAGAAAGCCTTGCTCACCTTGTTTTCGAGGTGACTTTTGAGTCGACCCAAGATGACTTTGAGTCGACCCAATGTGACTTTTGAGTCGACCCAATGTGACTCTTGAGTCGACCCAAGGTTGTGAGAGCTAGAGCTTAGAATGGATACATTAGTAATGAGCTTGAAACTCTTTAAGTACATCCAGGATGAGCAAGGAATGGGGACGGGAATCGGAGACAATCTCTAGGGATTGGGGGTAATCCCAAGGCAATCTCCAGTTGGTGGGTTGGAGATTGCTTCGAGATCACATTTGGGTTTGGTTGGGATGTGGGTGTACACCCAACCAAACACATAGTGCAAACTACACTATACTAGGATATTAAAAGTGCAAGTACAAAATGTGAGATTGAGGGGTAAGATCAACAAAGGTGACTTTTGAGCCGACCCAAGGTGAATTTTGGGTTGACCCAAGGTGAATTTTGAATCGACTTAAAAGTCACCTCGACATGAGATATGCAATGTGATATAGCCTTCCTCACCTTGTTTTTGCTGAAATACTGGTCTGTGTCAATCCGAATGTGAAGAGAATGAGCAGGCACGTGTTTTGATCCAATATGTGATGTGCTGTGATGCAATATGTAATGTGCTTTGATGGCCTTCTTTACCTTGTTTTCGCTGAAAAACTGGGTCTGTGTCAATCCAAAAGTATTGAGAATGAGGGGGCATGTGAGACCAAACTGGGACAGGAAGGTTGGCATTCGCATGCCATCCGCTTGGACTGTAGACATAGTGGGGAGAGAAGGGAGGGGGGGGGGGGTGGAGGGGGGGAGAACATTCAAAGAGAATACAGGGTTACAGACGTTGGTGAGAGGTATTAGTAGAAGGTACGAGCAGAGATGCATAAAGAGAAAGAGGCAGGCAGACGCACAAGAACGAACCTTCAGGGAGTGAAAGAGCGCGAGGTTTTGAGACGCCTCAACACTCGAGACACCTCAACACTCGAGACACCTCAACACTCGAGACACCTCAGAACTTGAGACGCCTTAAAGACAGACGCACACGAACCAACCTTGAGGGAGTGGAGGATCGCGAGGGCGATGGCATTGGAAGCAGAGAGCAGAGAGTGTGCCTGTGTCATGTGCTGTGCATGTCTGCAGCGGTGAGGTCTTTTGAGACGTCAAAAAGAGAGCAGAGAGTGTGCCTGTGTCATGTGCTGTGCATGTCTGCAGCGGTGAGGTCTTTTGAGATGTCAAAAAGAGAGCAGAGAGTGTGCCTGTGTCATGTGCTGTGCATGTCTGCAGCGGTGAGGTGAGTGACTGACATGCACTTAGGTACTCTTTCCCCCTCCTCCTCCCTCCCTCCCCTCAGTTAAGTAGCTGAGGCTGTAAACAAGGAAGTGAGTTTTGAGGCGCCTCGCAACTTACCGCATTGTAAACAAGGAAACAAGACAAGGTATGTGACTTACCCAGGGAGCAACTGGAGCAACAAGGTATGTGACTTACCCAGGGAGCAACTGGCAGAGCCCTTGGGAGAAAATGTGAAGAAGAAGTAGGGCGAAGGGCAGAGGCAGGAGTAGCTGCCATCTAAGCCATCGATACACACTCCTGGGGCGCAGGGGTTGCTGGAGAGCTGGCGACACGTGTAGGCCTCTGGTGAGGGGAGAGGGGGGAGAAGGGGAGGGAGAGAAGGAAGAGTAGAAAAGAGCAGACGGGGGAGGAAAGGGAGGGAAAAGCATAAGGGAGGCCGAGGTGGAAGAGAACGAAGGAGAGGGAGGGGTTGGGGAGATACAGCCACATGATAAAAGTGTTGTTTTGAGACGTCTCAAAGCGGACGGGGGAGGAAAGGGAGGGAAAAGCATAAGGGAGGCCGAGGTGGAAGAGAACGAAGGAGAGGGAGGGGTTGGGGAGATACAGCCACATGATAAAAGTGTTGTTTTGAGACGTCTCAAAGCGGACGGGGGAGGAAAGGGAGGGAAAAGCATAAGGGAGGCCGAGGTGGAAGAGAACGAAGGAGAGGGAGGGGTTGGGGAGATACAGCCACATGATAAAAGTGTTGTTTTGAGACGTCTCAAAGCGGACGGGGGAGGAAAGGGAGGGAAAAGCATAAGGGAGGCCGAGGTGGAAGAGAACGAAGGAGAGGGAGGGGGTTGGGGAGATAAAGTGGAAAGGGAAGAGCAAAAGTAAGTCTCATGATTTGATCCTACTCAGCAGAGGGGGATTTGATCCACCTCAGCAGTGGGGGATGTAGCAGCGGAGTAGGCAGGATAGAGGGGTCCCACAGGGAAGGGGACTTCGTGCACACGCCCAAACAAGCACGGCACCTACCGCACTCCAGCAATTGCCTACCGCACTCCAGCAATTGCCTACCGCACTCCACCAATTGCCTACCGCACTCCACCACTTGCCTACCGCACTCCAACATTTGCCTAACCACTCCACACCTCGCCTATTGCACTCCATGGCTCACCAGGGAAGCAGGAGGGCAGGCCAGTGAGGTGAGTGGGCTCAAAGGAGGGGAGATTCAAGGCGCACTTGCAGGAGGGCAGCAGGACAGAGGGGTCCCACGGGGAGCGCGCCTTAGAGCATGCGCCCATGCCGCAGGGGAGCACAGGAGAGTGGTTGCAGAAGTCAGTGTCTGCCAAGAGGGGTGAGGGCGGGTGTGCGGGGACAGAGAGGGGGTGAGGATGCGTGTGCGAAAAGGAGGGATGAAGGCGAGTGTGAGGGGGCTTTTGAGACTTGTCAAAAGATAGCGCCTTAGCGCATGTGCTCATGCTGCAGGGGAGCACGGGAGAGTGGTTGCAGAAGTCAGTGACTGTCAAGGGGAAACGAGGGATGAGGGCGAGTGTGTGGGGAAACACGGGGCAGGGAGGAGGAGGAGGAGGAGGAGGAGGAGGAGGAGGAGGAGGAGGAGGAGGAGGAGGAGGAGGAGGAGGAGGAGGAGGAGGAGGAGGAGGAGGAGGAGGAGGAGGAAGTCAGAGTCTGTCAAGAGGGATGAGGGCAGGTGGGCGGGGAAACACGGGGGTGCGGTTGAGTGTGGGGAAGCAAGAAATGAGGGCGAGCGTGAGGAGAATCGAGGGATGAGGGTGAGTGTTTGGGGAAACGAGGGATGAGGGTGAGTGTGTGGGGAAAGCGAGGGGGGACAAAGTGAGAGGTGTGTCAAGGAGGAACCCTCTATGCTGCTGCAGGGTGTCTTTAAGAATTCTCAGAAACTCCCCGCAACTAAGTGGGAGGTGTGTCAAGGAGAGACCCTCTTGAAGACGTGCCTTTGAAGGGTTTGGGAGGGATGCAAAAGGATGTGAGGGGAGGGAAAGGGACGTGTGGGGATGGGAAGGAATGTAAGGAGATGACATGGGATGAGACTGGATGGAAGTGGAAGTGCAAGAATATTACAAAAATGTTTAGAAAACGCAGTTCCTCCTTACAAACCTTTTCCCTCTCCCCTTTTCACTCACCACCCACTCCCCTCTCTCCCCTCCTCGCTTCCCCTTCTTACCCATCAAGCAAAAAGGTTCAGACCTGCTACACCCTCTGCCTGTCTCTCTCACTCCTCATCTCACCCTTCCCTCCTCTCTCGTGGTCAGGGCTCGTGGCTTGCTTTGCCTCCCCCCTCCCACTCTTCCCCCTCCCCACCCCCCCTCCCCCCTCTACCTGTGAATCGGAAGGTCCAGGAGGAGAGGGCGACGGGGGAAGGCATGCGGCCAGAGGGGGGAGGGAGAGCAGCGCTGGTGAACCCAACGACCAGCTGCCCAAAGGATGGCGACGACAGGTCCGTTGCACTGCTGCTGCTGCTGCTGCTGCCGCTGCCACTGCTGCTGCTGCTGCCGCTGCCGCTGCCACTGCTGCCCCCGCTGCTGCTGCCGCCACTGCTGCTGCTGCCACTGGTCTCGGTCACATCAGTCAGAGCAGCACACAGGTCAAAGCTGAGCCTCGTGCTGCCTTTCAACACTGGCGGCTTGTACCACCGAATCAGCATCTCCTTGCTACTCCCGTTATAGTCAACCCTCATCTGCCACACCTCGCGGGGCTTCATCGGATAAAACACCACCTTCGCGAACATCGACGTCATGTTGAAATCGCTGTTAACGCCGATGTGAATATCATTTAAATCGCCTGTTTCAGGGTTTACTACAGTGTCCCACTCCACAGCTACACTCCGAGCGCCGTCCGGCCAGCTGCCGTTAACGAGTCGCGAGGATGGGTCCCGGCCATACCCCATATAAGCCCCGCCTTGACCTATGGTCGCATGTGTGCTTATAACAAACGCGAGCCCTTGGGAGGCGGATGTATTCATGGAAAAGCCGTATGTGAAGGTGAAGGAGCGAGCCTTGCAAATAGGAGGCTCGGTGGCTATGGGTTGGGAGGGTGAGGAGGAAGGAGAGGAACGGGGGGAGCTGGTGCGAGGACGAGGAAAAGGAGCAGGAGGGAAGGGAGGGGAGGAGGAGGAGTAGAGGAGGGGGAGACGGCGGGGGAAGAAGATGGCTCCAGGGGCGGGATTGTTTGATTGGCCCATGGATGCCACATCAGCATCAACGGAGAGATCGGCAGCGAAGAAACGCTTCCGTGTGCTGCCACGTGTCAGCAGGGGAGTGGCTGGCGTGATGTAGGGGAAGGAGAATGAGTCTGCCGCCCAAAACGGAAGCGGATCCTCCGCTGCTGGGGTGAACGAAGGGGGGGAGAGGAGGGGAGGAGAGGGGACGGGGGGAAGGAGGGTTGGATGAAACGTAAGCGGATCCTTCGCTGCTGGGGTGTAGGGTGGACCGTGAGGCTAGGTAGGTTCCCTGCTCCTCCACTCCTCCTCTTCATAGCAAATCTGGAGGACATGTGATGGCGAAGGAAACCCACATAGACGATTTGACTGTGGGGACGAGCTGACCGCGAGGATGAACAAGAAAAGCTGCGGTGGGTACAGCATAAACAGTTTTCTCAACATAGAACCAAATCAACCCACACACACACACACAAAAAAAAAAAAAAAAAAAAAAAAAAAAAAAAAAAAACACTGACTTCACGCACTTACCCTCCCCCACTTCAAACCTCCACCCCAGCACCTGTTAATGCCACTCAAACAACTCACCCTCGCCGACTTGGAACTCACCCACCCTCCCCGACTTGGAACTCACCCTCCCCCACTTGGAACGTCCACCCCAGCACCTCATGTGCCTGAGCCTGCTCCGCCCCCTTGCCCGTGGCCGCTGTGAATCCCACAAACAGCGGCGGGGGGGGCGCTGCCGCCTCCGGGTCGTTCCCCCCCAGCCACTCGCAGGTGTCCAGGAATGTGCTCAGCACGGCCGAGCGCGGGAGAGGTGGGGAGGTGGAGGCGGAGGGGGAGGAGGAGGAGGGGCGAGACGACCGAGGGAAGCCAGGGAAACCCGGAAAACGAGGGAAGGCGCGAGAGGGGGAGGGGGAACGGGAGGAGGAGGGGGCGGGGGAGAGCCAGACGGTGAGGAGGGAGGAGGAGGCGTTGTAGTGGATGGTGGCGAGGAGGGTCTGACCGGCGTTGAGGGACGGAATGCCGAGGGGGTGCACCGGGGCAGAGGCGAGAGAGAGCATGCTGCCGTGCAGGTTCACCCCCACGTGGTGGTCGGGGCGGTCCCAAAACTCGGGGGAGGCCGATGTGTCGAATTCAACCGCCAGGCTCCTGTGCTGCTGTGGCTGTGTAGGGGGGGGAGCAGGAAGGGGAGCAGGAGGGTGGGCAGAAAAGAGCAGCAGAGAATGAGAGAATGAGAGCAGGAGAGCAAGACAGGAAGAGTAAGACCAGCAGAGAGTAGTCAGGGAAGATGAAGCGGAAAGACGAAAAGCATCACCACAACAAACGCCATCCCATTGCTGCCAAGACCTGCCACGCTCCATTGGGTGTGGGGATGTGGAACGCAAAGGAACTCGGCCTGAGATGACACGTACCTGAGATGACACATACCTGAGATGACACATACCTGAGATGACACATATCTGAGATGACCCATACCTGAGATGACACGTACCTGAGATGACACTCTGCACTGCTGACGCTGGAATCACTGCTTGTTCAGGGCTTATGCAGGTATGTGATACCTGCAGTGATGCAGCACTGCTGGTTCAAATGAGAATCATGAGCTGAGCATACCTGTGAGTCATCAGTGCCAGTTGTGCTCCCCGGGGGCAGCAGCAGGCGGCCGTAGCCCAGGGAGGGCCCCGGCAGGCCGAGCGTAGGCGTCGGCAGCATCACAAACGCCAAGCCCTCGCCGCCCAGCCCGGCGGCATTGGGGGAGGAGATGCGGAAGGTAAAGGAGGTGGAGAAGGAGAAGGGGCGGCAGGGGGAGGAGGGCGTGGCGGGGGCGAGCAGGGCGAAGGGGGTGGGGTGCAGCGCGAGGGCGGCAGCGTTGAGGTCGGAGAGCGTGGTGAGGGAGAGGGAGGAGCGGTTGCGACGGGTTGAGCCGGCTGTGAGGAGCGGGTGGGCGCTGGAGAGCGGCCAGTGGGAGAAGGACTTGAGAGGGGAGGGGTCGGCTGCAGGGCAGTGGGATGGGGAGTGAGGGGAGAAGGGGAGGGGAAACGGAATGGGGAGCGATTCTTAGGAACGTCGAATAGGCACGGGCAAAGTAGCGGTACGTTTGGTACCTCGTTCCTTTTTCTTTTTTGTTTTAATTATATCTACAATCAGCCGCTTCAAGGTTCGCTTTTGAATAAACAAACCGACCTCGGTTTGGTTTGATAGTTTAACTTTCATTAAGTCACAACTCCAAACAGTATCTGTTCTTGACACTGTTAAGGTATGCAAGGGGGGAGCGGGGTGGGGTTTGGGAAGAGAGGGGGGTATGACATGAGATGAGATGTGTCTACTTGGTTGAGAAATGATAAATGAATGGCCGAGCGACACCAATGTTTATATTCATCCGTTACAATACTGTAAGAGAATTTCATGCTGTAGATATGTAGCTGGAAAGACTACTTGTAGAAACTGGTGAATTACACGTAGAAAGGTTGCCATTTTGGGTAGTACTAAGAGATAGTGTAGGAATGAAGCTGGACGTTGAAATGAGCTCCAACTCACTGGACCATTACTGGGGATAACTCTCATCCCGCGGCGGTTCGACATGATTCGACGTGCTTCGGCAATTTTAAACGTTGAACTCGTCGAACCACCTAACCAGTTCGGCACCAATCGGTTAGGTCTGTTTCCACCTGGCGGGAAGAAATCCTCCCCTGGCTCAATTCGGTCTGAACCGAACCGCAAACATTCGTCTCAGTCAGACCGAAGGAGCGGGTGGGAGCTGGAGATGGGTTGGGGGAAGAAGGGCTTGAAGGAGGAGGGTCGTTTTACTCTTCAACTCGTATTTGCTGGCTACGTGTTTGTGCCTTTCTGAAAAGAATTCGGCCGAGTTGAGTCGAGTAAAGCTCGCGGTTTTCAAGAATAATCGAGAATAACTCGCTGCTCTTGAGTTTTTATTACTCGACGAGTATATCTAATTCGTTGCGTCATTCCAACGCAGGGTCCGCGCGGATTAGACAGTTCACCGCCATATCTGCGCGGAACGGGGATTTCGCTACCAGATCCGCGCGGAAATGGGATTTCGCCGCCAGAGCCGCGCGGAGATGGGATTTTGACGCCATATCCGCGCGAATTAGACGTTTCGTCTCCCGATCCGCGGGGATCGGGCATTTCGCCGCCATATCCCCGTGGATCTGGCATTTCGCCGTGCGGGAAAACCAGAGGCACCATCTTGCCTGAAACAGGTGGTGGGTAGGATGCTATGAGTCAGGTTTTGCTCGACTCGTGACGAGTTTTAAAAACCTCGACCATACAGTCGAGTTACGAGTCGACCCAGAGTTGAAAAAAGAACTCGCGAAAACGAGTCGAGTAAAACTCGACTCACAATGGGGGTAGTGGTGGGGAGTGGGGGAACGGGGAAGGGGAGTTGGGCGTGCAAGGTGAGATGCGACTCGTCACTTCACAAACCTGCGGTTCTGTCAAGTTCAGCTAACCATTTTGTCTGCTGCCTCATTGACTCACAACGAGCAGGCATGACAGACGCGAGGTCAACGGCAATGCTCCCTCCCTCCGACGCCACTCCCTCTCTCCTTGAGTTCACCACATTCACCCCTCCTGCTCCTCCTGCCCCTCCCGTACCCGCAGAAACAGCGAGTGCTGATGCTCTTGCTGTCTCTCCCACACCCTCTGCTGCCACTGTAGCAGTTTGGGATGCAGGTACGGCATCGCCTGCTGAGGTCCCACCAGCTGTTGACACTGCGGGCGTTGCTGCTGCCCTTGCCCCTGCTGCTCTCTTCAACCGAAAGCTCCAGAACTGCCGTAGCCCAAACGACCTCAGTCCAGGGAGGTTAAGTCTGGGGAACCGGAGAAGCCTTCCCAGGGCGGATTTAGTGCCGGCAAGGGCGGATGCAGCGCGGGAAAGGGCGGGGTGTGACGCTGGCCGGGTTTGGAGGCCGAGGGAGGCGATGGTAAAGCCGCTGCTCTCTGTGCTGTCAGCGCCGCTGCTGCTGCTGCTGGCGGTGGTGGCGGCGCTGCTAGCGCCGCTGCTGCTGGCAGCGACGCTGCTAGTGGCGGTGACGGTGGTGGTGCTGCTGCTGCTGCCTTGCATGGATCGAATTACCAAATGCAGCGCCACTCCCCCCGGAGGCACTACCAACGAGGAAGGGGAAGATGTGGAGGAAGAAGAGGAGGAAGAAGAAGAGGAGGAGGAAGAGGAGGAATCTGGGGGGTCAGGGAGGGTGAAGAGGAGGGGTCCCACTTGGAACCAAGGCAAGGCGCCGGACAAACTCGCGATGCTCTTTCCACACGGCACACCCACCCGCCACTCCCCCCACACCTGCTCCTCCGCTCCGCCTGCTGCGGCGGCAGCGGAAGAGTTCAGCGGAACTGCCAGCAGCAGCACCTTCAACAGCCGCTCCATTCCCCCTTCCGCCTCCGCGCACAGGCTGGCGCGCGCAAAGAACGAGAGGGACAGCTGGCGCGGGGAGCGCTCCTCCTGCGCTTGCTGCGAGTCGTTGCTGGTTGGCGCCGCGGGTTTGAGTTCGCACAGCGCTTGCGCCACGCCTGGGCCGCCAAACGCGCTACTGCTACTGCTACTACCAGACGCGATGTCGCCACTAGACGACGCGGTAAAAGCGGAAGTCAGCCGTAGAAAACGGGACCCTTCAGCTGCCAGTAGGGTGTCCACGACTCCCGTGACCCCGTTCGATATTGACACGTCAGCAGGCGACGCGGCCACTCCTGCTGTGAGGATCGTTCCTGATACTGTTCTAGCAAGAAGTGCTCCGCTGTTTCCGCCGCCAGATGCGGTGGCTAAGACCTCATCGCTTGAGAATGCTTCCCCAGGTTCTAACGCGCGCCACGGGAATAAGTACGGCCACGGAGGGCACGACGCGTTCAGCTTCTTGCGACGCCATTCTATATCGAGACAGCTTGTATCGAAGCTTGGGTTCGAGAGGAGGTTGGACGAGGCACCTGTGTCGGCAAATGAGGGGTACAACAGAAGAAATTTGCGCGGTATTCGAGCGGATTAAACTTTAAAAGCTTTTGCCAGTTTTGATAAATCCGCCAGCTGACGGCAACATCTAGGGCTATAGACAGAAGGGACGGGATGTGCAGAAAGCATGCGGGGAAAAGCGAGGAAGAATATTTGTAAGAAGTGGCTGGAAGGTGACTTTTGAGTCGACCCAAAAGGCACGCGGGGAAATGCGAGGAAGAATATTTGTAAGAAGTGCTGGAAGCAAGTGGGTTCACATTGTAGACACACGTCAAGTCTGGAATTTCGCGAAGTTGGAACACGTGATAAAGGAGAGACCCTGGATGTGCCTATGACTCGACCGCATATCGCGACGCGGTGGCGACCCGTCACTACTACCACTCCAGCACTTGCAGCTACGAAACCATGAACGTGCGTGAAGGCGCCAGTAATTCGAGAGCTACAAAATTGACTTACTTGGATTCGTTAGGTTGAGGCAGTCGACGAGACCGTCGGCGACACCAACTACGGCCACGAAAATTATTACTGGAAGTGTAGAACGAAAAGCAATCGTGGCACAGAGAGGACAAGCGGCCCCTGAGTGAACGCGCACGCTGCGGCGAGAAATGCGTCCGGGATTCATCTTATTACTTTGTAGGTGGGAATGCATCAAGAGTAGACTATCACTATCCGATGGCTTTATCTGAAAGAGGCATAGGTGCTCTCGAGAGAATCCCGGACTAACATGTTCCACTAGGAATTAGCAGCCGAGACGAGCTTCTTGGGAGGGACTGCTTTGCGGGAGTCCATTATGATCAGCTTACGAGAATCTATACTAAAGATACCTGCAAATGATCGTAGGAGCATATTGGCACTCTTTTTCTCGCTAGACTGGCATCTGGGATGGATGGTACACACCCATGATGGTGTGGGTGTCTCACATTTGTTCGAATGAGGTGACTTGCGTACAGTGATAAAATGGTCGAGAGAAAGACGATGTAGTGTACATATACACATGATGCTCAACCTCTGCAGGCAAATTTTCCCTTGACCGGGTGGAAAGCCTGCACCCGAGTTTTTTTCAAGCCAGTTACAGCTACGTATTGACGAAAACATAACGATATGAAAGAAGCTCGTAAGCGCATACTTGACAAATCGAAAACATATGACTCAAAAAGTAGTCAGGTGTATCTCAACAAACAACTGCCCGAGGCAAAAAAATGTACGTTTTGACCCCACGTACAGTACAGTAGGCAATGTGTGGAAAGGTCAACCAATACAGTAGGCAATGTGTGGAAAGGTCAACCAAGTACAGTACCTAAAGTCAACGGAATACAGATCATTTTTGTTGCACTGTACCACCCTTTCGAGCCGCGTGATTCTGCATATTTTCACATATGATATTGGGACGTGCGCGGGTTGGTTGGAAATACACCCACATTCCGCTAGATACTCACAGCATCGCTCGTCATTTGAGAGTTTAGTGACAAAGATTTATCTCGCCTGCTCGCCAACGTTCGCCACGGGCAAAATCGGGACTGTAGTGGCAAGATGAAGAAATGTAAACAGTTTCTTCAAAGTATCTCGCGAACGGACGGATCCAGCGTGATAAGCTGTATGTTTAACGGCTGCGATCAAGAAAGGGGCTTGTATCGAGCGTGTAACTGGCTGGTACCAGATGCAATTGAGCAGGCTGTAGAAATAACCCAGACCGAATTTGCTTGCAACAGCTGAGCATACTGTGTATCAAATCCACAGGCTCAAAGGCAACAAATACCAGCTCTGTTCACCCTCTGCGGTTCGCTTGGTTTCCTTACGGTTTCTTGCGCAATATCGCTTTGGAATGCAATTTATCGATACAAATAGTTATTTCTGTATGCCAGACAACCTCCTCTGAAGCTTCTAATAAATCTTCCTTCACAACCCTGCGCACAGCTAGTGTAAGGGCGCGCTGCACTTCTATTTTTTTATTTCGAAAATGCTGAAAAGATCGATCCAAATCCGAAATTTTGGTGAAGTTCGGGCTACTGTGCATTTGGCGTTGAATCAATTGAGTTTTGTCTTGACTGAATAGTGTTACTGTTCGAGAAGTACACCACGCTCGTGTTTTGCATGCGAACTTGAACGCCACAGCGCCCCGGGCAAACGATACTGCAGAATTCCTAGTCAAATGCTCAAACTTGACAGGGAAGTGCACCACCCCAAAGGTGACTCCAGTTGCGAAAAAAAAACGAACTACTAGCGACGGTAACATAATAGTTACGATGCCTAGACGAAACGATATGCTTGGCTATGCGACGTCTACAGTGTACGTGCGACCTCATTTCGGTCGTACGGTCGGTAGGAGTCCAGGTTCCCCAAAAAACCATTATTGGTGCACTTGACAACGCCAGCCAATATTCTTTGTTTTTTGGGTTGCGAAGCAACCCTTTACGATCGATTTTGCCAAATTTTATTTTCATGTTTATATTTTTTAAAAAAATCATGAAAATAAATTTTGTCAACTACAGTACTACCCTTCCCAAACTGTATGCATGTTGAGCAGTTTTGAATACGATACTGTTCATAGTGCATTATTCCATATGAATATTTTGCAATTGTTTAGTGGAGATTTGCTGTACTATTTGCATTATATGTTACTGTTAGATGATGTTGTGTAATGATGAAGAGGTGCATGCGTAATGCATAAATGATGCTATACAATGCATAATGCATAGAATGATGTATATAATGCATGTGATATGTGATGAATGATGCACATGCACATGATAAAATGCGTGACAGTTAACAACCCAAAAACTAAGCTATCGCCATCCCCTGCCTAGCATGGGGGGGAGGTCAATAGCAAAATCTTTGAATAATCAACTAGCACATGAAAAAATACAATCTGTTAACTCTAAAAAAGAGGTTCACTCCATCAAATCCAGTTCGAAGTGGCAAACACACGAGTCACTGAGTGCGCCAATGAACCAATTAGAAATGATAGAAATGAACCCCCTTTTTAAAATTGACAGACATGCATTGATATTGCAATGACAGATGAGATGAATGCACTCACACGAACAAACACATTCACACAATAAAAAACACGAGCTCCGGCAAACCCAGCCAAAAAACACGAGATACACGCGAACTACATAACAAGTAAATCAATGTTAAAAGGACAATACGATAAATCCTAGTGACCAATACACATTTTCTGGATTGAAATCGCGTTCCTGACCAGAAAGGCCCCTAACAAACGGGTTTAGGAAGTGGAAAGGAGGAACGGAAATGAATAGCCGGTACAACAAACAAAACAGAAAAAAGGCATAAGGTGTGATGAAATGAAGAGAAACAGGAATAACGAAGAAACAAATGAATCAATACAAGGGCTAAGAAAAACGCCGTGAGCATTGAATGGTTAGACTTGACAAAGAGCATGGAGAAGAATCTGACGAGGCATAAAACGAAAATAAGGAACGGGAATAGAGGAACAAAATACCGAGACAGTAAACGAAAGAAGAGAATATAACAAATACAGAGAGCGAGAACAACGAAGAGCGAGAGCGAGAGCAGGAGCGAGAGAGGACTAGAGAGAGGGGACGAGAGAGAGGGGACGAGAGAGAGGACGAGAGAGAGAGAGAGAGAGAGAGAGAGAGAGAGAGAGAGAGAGAGAGAGAGAGAGAGAGAGAGAGAGAGAGAGAGAGAGAGAGAGAGAGAGAGAGAATGAGAGAGAGGGAGAGAACGAGAGAGAAAACGAGAACGAGAGAGAGAGAACGAGAGAACGAGGACGAGAGAGAGAGAACGAGAGAGAACGAGCGAGAACGAACGAGAGATAGAGAGAGTGTTCAATAAATTACGATTTCTACGATTTCGAAAAAAAACATGTGTAAAAACAAGATCTAAGCCGACCTAGTTTAGATCTAAGCCGTCCTGTGTTAGAATTAAGTCGACCTAACAAGTATCGAACGCGTTTAAGTTGCAAGTTAGGAGCTTACCTAGCGGAAGTCCCGTAGCCCGTCAGCAGAACGAGAGGAAGTAGGAAAGGGAGGGCTAACTAAGAATAGGAAGTAAATGACGACAATAAGAGCTTACATCTTACCATGAGCTAACAACTCTAAATGACATCTTAAACTTTCTGACCTTGGAGTGGTAGGTGGAGCGTAAGTAGCGTGAGGCAAAAGAACAAGCTCCACTGGCGAGAAGAAAAGAGAAAGAGAAAACGAATACCTAGAACCTAGAACATAGGCTTAATCAAACTATTTTTTTAAAACGCGGCCAACACAAGAGTAAACAACTATGGTACGAGATTAACGCATGCTAGTCTCGCTAGAAATCAGGTAACTTAATTCTACTTGAAACGGTAAGGTAGAGTTGTTCTCACCTTAGTAGGAACGGGTAGGTGGGGCGTGAGTAGCGGGGAGCTAAACCAGCGAGCGGAAGGGAGGGAGAATGAAAGGAAGAGCAAACCTAACAAAGTGTCAGATTCGTCGTTATGTCAGCTGGCTTTCAAGTTTATGTTGCTTTTTTGTGCAGTAGCGCTAGTGCAGTCGGTAGGTTAAAGGCGTTGGGTAAGAAGGAGGTAGGTTCGAATCCTGCTGAAGCTGCTTTTTCGAGTCTTGCTATATATGTCAATTACCACAGGTTTTTATTAAAGTATTCGCACTTGTAGAAAATTGTGTACATGTCGTTATGTAAAATGTAAAAATTTGTGTACATATCGTTATGTAAAATGCTTCGCAACCCTAAGACGATTTCGTCGCCTCTTGTTTATGTTTGTTACGAATAGCAATGAATGAAGATTACAATGCACTATCAGAATCGTAGTTGGGGCCTAGGGTTTGACCTAGGCGAGAGTGACGAGAGAAAAGTGCAAGCCAAAAAGAGGAGGTTCACTATAGAGCGAGCAGTACAAATAGGCAAGAATGAAGAAAGGTGCACCACCAAACAGAAAGTTATATGACTACAGTATTTGTAAGGAAATTCCCTTTTCCTTACTTCGCGTCCCTGCTCAACGCGTACATCACTGTAGCACCTCAGTCAGCACCGTTACCACTCGCGACCATCGCATCATTCATCATCCCGCCCTTTTCGCACATCGCATCCCGACCTCACGGCTCGGCTGGTAACCCGCGCTCCGGGCCTACGCTTCGACACTTTCCCAACCTCAGTCACAGGCTCGTCGCGCGACCATTACCGTTACCACTATAGTTTCGCTATATAATGTTCGCTCATGCCTTCGCTCATTTGTATTCTTGCTTCGATAGTGCAATTCTCGTTCGTTCACTCAATTGCACTCGTAACACTTGGTATTCAAACCCTACGATCTCATCTCGGACCGCACCCACACCTTCGCTTCCCACTATCTCAAATTTTGGGGGGGGGTAGACGTCTCTCAGCGACACAGCACCGCCGCTCGTAGTGCTCTCTCGAAAGCACGCACGGCCACGACCGAGGCTCTCGCTGAGCTTGCCCGACACCCCCGCCATGGCCGATTTCAATCTCGCCACGTTGACGCAGGAGCAACTCGATCGTCTCGTGCGTCAATTGGAGGATTCGGCGCTCGAAATCGCGACTCTCACGGCGGAACGTGACTCCGCCCGTCAACAGTCAACGGTGAACGTACCGACGACATCACATGCACCAACCAATGCATCTGCACATTTGGAGGAGCCCATCGTCATCTCATCCGGCACACCAACGCAACACAACAGCACGGGACAGCGCTCAGGCGCAGCCAGTGACGGCGCAGCCCAACCGATGCCCGGCATGGGAGGGAACAGGAGCGCATTAAGCCCACGGGAGCCCCGAGAAGCCCGTCGGCACGTGGAGTTTGCGGCGACAAGTGGGGAGAACGCCGTGATGGCCCCAATGCCACTCAAGCCGCAACGCCCGCCCTGCTTCGACCCAAGCCAACGCGGCGGCCCGACAGTTCAATCGTGGGTCTTCACGATGAATGTGTTTTTCGACGCCAACTACGTCGAGTCGGACGCCGCCAAGATCCGGTATGCGGTTTCACTACTCAGGGGCCCCGCCATGGACTGGTGGCGAGTCATTGTGACGTCGCCGCGCGCCTACGAGCCACCGTTGCACGAGGAAGGGCCCTCGGGTCCAGCTGTTACCTGGAGTTCGTTCTGCGAAACCGCTCAATACAGCACGTGGGATGCGTGGTGCGCAGGGCTTCGGGCGCGCTTTGAGCCGATCGCGGCCTCGATTTCGGCGCGTCAGAAACTACGCACTTGGCTCCAGCTCGGGTCAGTTCAAGACTACACCAGCGGGTTCCTTGCACTTTGCGAACAGGTCGGCTACATGCACGAGGCGGAGCGGGTGGACCGTTACGTCGGAGGGCTGAAGCCGGACATCTCGCACGAGATAATGCTACGCGGGCTCTCGAATTTCAACCAGATCCTCGCGCTCGCCGAGAAAATCGATATCCTACGCTGACCGAGACCGGGGTCCTATTACGGACATCGTCCTCGGGGACCGACCGAGCACGCCACTGTACATGCCGTCGCAGCGAATGCAGCTGCCGCGCCGTTTAGAGGGCGCTGCTTTGCTTGCAACCGACCGGGCCATCGCAAGAGCGAATGTCCAGAGGAGCTGAGGCGTCGAGGAGCAGAGCAGGGGAGGGAGTCTCAGAGGCAGGGAAACGCCGGCAGTCAGTAGAAATTGGGCCAACTACTGACGAGACTGCCTGCTCGCCCAACCACACCGACCCTCACCGAGTCACAGTACCGATTCACGCCATCGATCGGGCTCGGATGAATAAGGAGGGTGTGAGAATAAACGAACAGGAATGAAATGACTAAGTCAGGGTTGGGTACAAATACAACCCTAGAAAGCTGTACCCCATATGTGCTACCCCACTATAGCCTACAAACATGCATCAGCTATAATAATCTGACACACCCCCATAGGCAAAGTGGGGGAGAACAAGGGGTCACAAGACCAGTCAAGCAAAGCAAAGCAAAGCAAGCTCAGGGTGGATCACAAAGTCACCACACAGTCCGAGCACAAGAGTAGGGCCAGAGGCCAGTTCACATGCAGGAGTACAGACATATATATAAAACTAGACAAGTAGGAGCAGGTATATATATGTCACAGTACAAGTAAAGTCAAGAAGAGATCAAGTGAGGCAAGACAGGCACAAGACCCAGCTGGGTGCAGAAGCGCTGATGGTCACAAGGCGCGAGTGCCTTGGTGAACACATCAGCAGTGTTGGCCTCAGAGGCCACGTACGCAAGTCGCAACTGACCACGCTGCTGCAGCTCACGAGCAAGGAAGTAACGGAGAGCAATGTGCTTCGTTCTGTGCTCCAAGCGCTGCTCTCGACACAAGGCCAGCATGGCCTTGTTGTCTACGTACAGCACTGGAGGAGAACGAGGCGGCTCTCCAAGGTCAGTCAGCAGGTAGGTGAGCCAGCGAAGCTCCTGTGCAGCCATGGCCCCGGCGTAGATCTCAGCCTCACAACTGGAGCTGAGAACCGAAGACGAACGAGTAGACCTCCAAGAGACAGAGCCGGAACCAAGACTGAAGGTGTAACCCTGTGACAACCGCTGCGTAGCCTGGTCGTCAGCCCAAGAAGCGTCCGCGTGGCCTGTAAGGACCACTGGACTCCGCCCTCCAAGCACTAGCCCCATGCCCGACGTACTGCACAGGTAGCGCAATACCCTCTTCGCTGCAGCCATGTGCTCTGGTCGGTGTCTCCCAGGAGCAACATAGCGTGCAAGAATGCTCAGAGGGTATGCAAGGTCAGGTCGAGTGCAGGTCATCAGGTACATGAGGCAGCCAACAAGCTCTGGGTACGGGCCACTCGACTCTACGGACTCATCCGAAGGCAGAGCTGAGAGTGAGTGGCGAGTAGACAGAGGAGTGGCCTGAGGCGAGGAGTACGTGAAGCCGAAGCGCTGAAGGACCTGCTGCACCATGTGTGACTGAGTCAAGGTGATGGTGCGGCGTGCTCTGTCCCGAGTGATCTGCAAGCCAAGGTAGCTGCGCAGTTCACCCAGGTCAGTGCACGTGTGTCTCTTCAGTAGCTCGGACTTCACGTAGGCGAGTCCAGCAGTGTCCGCTGTGGCAAAGACCAAGTCGTCGACGTACACGAGGATGTAGAACGGCGGTAGTGAAGTGTCGGTGCGCAGAAACAGCGACGGGTCAGCAGTAGACGGAGCAAACCCAAGAGCCGCAAGCGTAGTCCTCAGTGTGTCGTGCCACTCACGCGGTGCCTGGCGGAGACCGTAGACTGGCCGTCGGAGGCTCCACTGGGTGCCAGGAGGGAAAGTCCCAGTGAAGCCAGGTGGACGGCGCAGCCAGATCTCCTTGTGCAGGCTACCCTGCAGGAACGCAGTGCTGAAGTCGAGAGAGTGAAGCTCGTAGTCACGCTGAGCGGCTATGTGCAGCAGCACCCGAAGAGTGGTCATCTTCGGGGTGGGAGAGAAGGTCTGAAAGTAGTCAACTCCCTGCCGCTGACTGAAGCCACGAGCAACGTACCGCGCCTTGAAGACAGGTGGAGAGCCCGGTGGCCGCTTCACCCTGAAGATCCACATGCCACTGACGATGTTCGCCCCAGGAGGGGGAACCGCGTCAACGTAGGTGCCTGTGGACTTCCAGGAAGCCATCTCTGCATCCATAGCTGCCTGCCACTGAGAGGAGTAGGGACCCTCTACGGCCTCCGCGTAAGAACGCGGAGTCGGGATGTCAAGTGCATCCGGGTCTCCCTCAGGGGCAAGAAGTACAGACGCGAGATGAGGTGAAGCAGCCGCTAGACACTGGAACTCCTCCTGTCTGTCCTCTAGGACGTCAGTGCCAAGAGCACACTCACCCCCGACGGACGGAGGACAGACAGACGCAGACTC